CCCTGTATTCTTTGGGTGTAGAAAGGAGAGGTTTGGGGGGGGGGGGGGGGTTATTATTTTAAATATTAAATTTCCAGATATTATTAAATGCTAGTGAACTTGTTTTGGCATCTTGAATGCTTCAATCTGTCCATTCCATGCGTGAGGAATATTCTTGTCATCAGAAATGCCAGTGTTGTCTCCTTCTGGGAGTGACTGGGGTTGAATGGAGTGTGCATCAGAAGGAAGCAAAGCTGAAGAAGTTCCTAGAGGAAACCAGTTTATTGCAAATATAGAGCAGAAACAGCATTCTACAGCAAGAAGCTTGCAGAATAAAGCATGTGTATAGTCGTCATCTTTAAAACCATGCAGATGTTACTCATTATCAAGCAGAAAGGCACAAACTTCCTTCTCTTTTGGGAAAATCATTTCTTCAAATGTTGGGATAACAGCTTAGGGTTTTCTGTTGTTTGTTTATTGTTTAGTGGTGAAAACAGAATTCATCGTGGGATGTGAAAATGTTAACAAGCTAGAGAATTAATTTGGAAAATATTTTTATTTCAAATAGCTTCTAAAATTCATCATATTTTAGATTCTCTTGTAAAATGCAAATAAGCGTTATTTAAACATGGAGAAAGAATACTGCTGCAATAATTCTGTTATCCAAATTTTGAGGCTGACCCTTTCCTGTGCCTCTGGGAGTCATGAATGTCTCTCATTGAATGCTGCACATGGAAAAACTTGAAAGAAGAAACAAGCACAGTTAATGCTGCTGTTTGGAGTGGTGTCATGGTCATACCAGATTCAGTATAATTTTTCATTAAGTTCAATAAAACCAGAACTTTGTGCGTTACCTCAAACTTTCAGAGCTACATAGTGAACAGTGTTAATCTCCCCCCAAATGCATTAGTCCACCCAAAATGTCATCCTGTACTGCTGGTCCCAGCAACTAGCAGATGTCATTGGTATGTCCGTACTACATAATGCAATGTAGTACAGCAATCCCAAGCTGGCTGAATGACATGAGAGCAAACCAATCTTAGGGAACACCATGCTGCCGTGGCTAAGGCTGTGGGTACCTGAGCCCATGGAGAGTTAGCCTGGGTATCTGTACACCGCCTAATATGACGTAACATGACAGCTGCCATGCAAGAGTGGAAAGGTAAGTGCTGTTGTAATACCAGGCACATTACAAATTTTAATGCACTCACTTATTAAACATCTAAATAGATCTTATTGGTACTCTGAGATAAGCCTTACGTGTTTATTTTCTAGGTCCTGTCATAGGTGAAGCTCTGAATGACTTTATTCTTATTCTTAAGACGTGTCTTCAGCCAAACAAAGATCCCCAGATGCGGTTAAAACTTTTCACTGTTCTATCACAGTTGCTCCAGAAAGCAAGTGAAACCATCAATTCTCAGGGGTAAGCAGAGTTCTGATTTCACACAGCTATTTGAATGCTACAGTGGTATTAAAAAGTAATGACCATGGTAGTTATTTAACCTCTATAACTGTGTCCATGTTAGCATGTCTGGGAGAAGAAAGACATTCCCACCATCTTCTACAGCGTATTTTTCTTGCTTTTTTTTAACAATCTTTAGAAGGGCAGAGTGCAATAATTTAACAAAAAATATAAGTAATTGCAGTTTGGCCTTCTTCCACTGTAGTCTTCCTACCTCTGCCACTATGGAGAATTAAAATGGTTGTCATGCAGATCTGGATAGTTTTCAAAAAATAAAGAGCTATAGTTGAAAAGAATATATGTTTGAAAGCTAAAATAGGGATTCTTAGGAAAGAAATATGGGGGGGCTAGTTGTTTTTTATTCTTTTTCTACCAGCCAGCTTGTAAATCCTTCAATTTTGCTTGTAGTCATTGTAAGGAAAAGGTAAAACACCCCCAAAAATGGGCATTTAAAAATCCCCATGATATAGCATGGTGTTTAAAAAGCATTAAACTTAATGTTTGATAAGGAATTATTATTGCTCTGTGACTGGTGATGGAATTCTGTTGCTTGGCACTATTTATGCATTGCAAGCACAATCTAACTATAATTTACAGTGCTTGTAAAACCCTTCCATTTATAACAATTCCAACAGTGGGTCTCTTTTGTCATCATTAATTTAGCTCTACTAGTAGTGCAAACACTTTTGCAAGGTTGTCCTGAATACATAAACCATATCTGCTCTGCTTTTCCCAGTGCCTGCTGCATTTAGTATGTAAACATGTTCTGATGCATATTGTTTTCATTTTTAACTCTTTCAAAAAAAAAAAAATCATAGGAAGCATTCTTCCTAAAAGTACTTTGATAGCAATGGTCATTTATACTTAGAATTTTTTTCATTATTCTGATGAACAAATTGGCATTCAGTGGGCATTCTGGTATGCTGAACATTCATTCTGGTTCCATGAGGCCATGGTAGTATGAATGTAGATGTATTTTTACCATTTTTAGATACATTTAGTATATTCATGGCCTGCATTCTATACTGTAGGAGGAGGAGGAACCCTGGTGTTCCCATTCAGTGGGGGATTCCAAGTAAGCTGAAGAATCTGCTAATGCATCCCCTCATAGATTTTGAGCTAGTGTGCTTAAGATGGAGTATAATGAAGCTGTCCTTTTTTAACTGAAAGCTTTTGTGCCAAGTGTGGTGTTATCTGTTTCCATATTTTCAGGATCCAATATTAAAATCCCTATTCATATGAAAAATCGCTTTGTAGTCAGTGGATTACTTGTTTAAAAAATCATGTAACTGAGTGGTAGTTACAAGATCAATCTAGATATGCAAGAATCTTCCTAAAAGAAAGAAAGAAAGAAAGAAAAGCACTTTGAAAACTATTTTAAGTGTTCCAGGATCTGACTATTTGTTGTAAGCTAATTTGTTTTATCTCAGATCCGTATCATCTAACTGAGAATGCGAAGACTGTGGAGCCAAGAGGTGTCATCTCGTGTGTTCTGTGGTGCCCTGAACACAACAATAATGCTTATTAAGTGTGTAATAATGTATTTCAGTCTAAAAATGGAATAATGCAACTCTCTTCTCTCTATTTATTTTCTTTTATGGCCTAATTTTGCTGTCCTTTATTTACTGCAGAATACATTATTAGCTCCTGTTCATCTACCATACAGTTGCATGTATTATTTTCTACATTTGTTTTTAAAACATTAAATATGTTCATTCTTCCAAAGTATGTAATCAAATTCATACCTGATCAACAAGTTAGTCTCACTGGCATTTCTTCTCTGTATGTTTTCAGTTATCTGGTCTCCTGTCCTTCCTCCTCAGAAATAGCGTTACAGATTACAGCAGAATAGAATTTGAAGAATTTAGTTAAATTCTCTGTTCTGCCTCTCATTTGTGATCTACAGAAAATCATTTAGGCTGCATCTAAGCAGTATGACAGGTACATTACCTGGCATGCTACAGAGTCCTGACCTGCAATGTTCCTGACTAGGGTGGCTAGGATGTGGGAAGGAATTCTGCATTAACACATAGCCTTGTTTATTCTTTGTTTCTCACCTGTACAATAGGACTGATAGCACTTCTCTAACTGAAAGTCTCTGAAGTGCTCAGGTAAGTGTATTAATTAAGTAGGTACTGCTGATAGAGAGAAATGGTCAGTGCAGGACCACATGGAGAATACCATCAAAGAGTAAACTTTTGTTTTGGCAGTAGGCAAAGTAAATATGATGAATAAAAAAAATCTTTCATCTGCAACCCAATCATTTGTATAAATAATGGAGGCAAAGATGGGAAAAAGAAAACCAACCCAATGACCTGTCAGCCTCGCTAGGATTCCCAGGAAAGGGAAATTATCAGTGTGGAAAAAAATAGAAGAATATGTTTCAAAGTAATACTCTCAGCGAATATAGCCACCCGTCACACCAGCTCTCCACAGATAGCAATGATGGAAGTTGTTTTGCTCAGGGCAGTGTGGGTGAATGGCCTTTTGTCAAGATTTAGATACATCCAATGAGGTTAATAGACCTGTTTGTAGGAGAACACTCCTGGCTAAGGATGGCCCTGTCTCACTCATAATGAGGCGCTCTGTCCTCTGAGAACAAGAGCAATGCAATGAATTTTACCAGTAGGTTTATCTTCAGAAGCTAAAAAGCAGTAGAGGGAGCTAAATGACTCTTTGAAGTCTTGATCCTACTTACCATTGTAACAGCCAGTGCTTTGCTGTAGGAGGTAACGTAAAGTTTTTGTGTTTGAAGAGTTGTTTGCAAAACATTTTTGGAGGTTTTGATTTGTAAAAGCAAATGGAATTTTGTTTCCAATTACCTGGATTTAGGATGTTAAGTTTGGAAAAAACAAAAGCATACACACAAAAAAACCCAAAACACAACAATCCACAAATACCTAAAGCCAAGTGCAGCAGTGCCATAAAAGCAGAAAAGGAGCCAATCCAGAAGAGAAATGTATAAAAAATAATTAACATGGAATGAAAGTTTAAGTATTTAAGTCCATAAAATGGGAGTAGCAATTTTAATGTAAACCCAAGGTCTGCTTTTTATATCTTTTTTTTTTATATCATAAGAGCTAGGCATTATTCTGTGCACAGATCACATTTTAGATACTTCATATCCAGTTGAGAATAGTCTCAACTCTGTAAATACAAACAGCACAGGGTATGTTCTTTCATGGAAATGACTCACTTTTGGAGTTAAGTTACCTAGATTTACAACAGTAAGATCTGAAAATAGAAAGAGGGAGAATTTAATTACATCAGCAACAGCAAAAAATACATCTTAATGGTAATGAGAGATAGTGTAGTGAAGTAGTAACAAGTTGTGGTTACACAATCGCATTCACTGCTGGTGGTAATTTGTTTAGCTCATTAAAAACATTCTAACAGTTTAGATAAGAAGGCTTTCAGTTATTATACTAAACACAGTTGTGTGGTCATCTAATTTTGTTTGAGTCTGACATGATTGAGTCAGATAACTGCCAGATATTGCTTTACTGATTCTATTTCAAGGCACTAGAACAAATACTCTCACAAATAGCATAGCATTATGGTTAACATAATGCTGATGGAATTTACCTTTATGTTTTGACAGATTGTTTTTCTTCTTTGCAGTTTAATAGAGAGCTTTATTGAAAACAGAAGCAGCTGCTGATCAGATAGCACAGTAGCACAGATAGCACAAAGCTTTTTTTAACTTTGGAGCTAAAAGGAAATTTGGAATGATGGTGATCATTGGTTATATTTTTTCTGGCAACTTTTTGAATAGAAAATTATTAATTCTCAAAGATGTGTTTAAAATAATAAATCTAAAGGTTTTTGACAAATTCAGATGTGTCTAATGGGACATGCGATTTCGTGTTATTTCTGAATCTTAAGTGCCATCTGCTGGCCAGGAAGCAAGAAGGGATCTCTGACTTTCTCGGACACAGAGCGCTCCCTGGGCCAAGGGGCTGAGCAGCAGCCAGGCATATCTATTTTCATCATGTTGAAGATGGAGATTTTCAGTTTTGTGTATGTGCAATAGATAGATAATTAAGGCCTGGCAGGCTAGCTGGTCATGCTTCAGTCAGATTACACCTGGATGACAAGGTCTAACTGCAGTGGGTAAAGGGTAGTTACAGGAAAGTAGATACAATTACATTTCTTACTACATTGATACAATATTATTATGGAATTTTTTTATTGCTGGATGATTTTGTTTTGTTGTTGCGTTTTGGGGTTCTTTTGTTTTTTTAAAAAGTACTTAGTGATAATTGTTTGTTGTTAACATCTACCCATTATATTCCTCCTGTGGCTTGGCACATCTCTGTAGGAGCCACTTACTCATCCTGGAAATGCAGGACTTTAGCAAAAAGTCAGCAACACCTCCTTCCCCCTCTGCCAAGCACCAGGGTGGTGATGTGCTGTTTTGCACTCAGGTGGCTGCAGTCCAGGTCTACGGAAGGTTTGAATAGAGTGGGACACAAGTCAAGGTAGATTTAGCCTGGTATTTGCCAATCTGTTTTGCACGCTGCCAGCTGCTTTTTAAGGCAGAGAGGCACAGAGAATAATCTAAGCCTTAGTTGTCTAGTCACAGCCAGGCACACATCTCTTTGATGCAGCAAAGTCTTTTTTAACTTGTGTGTAAGATGTATATCTTTTTCTCTTAATTTAAAAGCGTTTGAGCTGGAATTAAATGCGTGTGAGGGAATACTGCCTATTGCAAGTGCTGACTCTTGCAGCAACTTTTAGGATTGTAACAGCCCATTCAATAGAGGAGGAGGAAGAAGCATCAGCAAAAATATCACAGATTTGTGTGTTTGTAATGAAAACAAACTAGTATTGCGACTGGCACCATCAGAAAATCCTACAGACCTCTCATCCTTGAGAGAGACGAGTTTCTGAGCCAAGGGAAAGCTGAAGTATTCTGTGTAGGCTTCCTGCAGTATCAGTAGTTCAGGTCTCATCAATAGCATTCATACTTTTCACATTATAAATACTTTTCACTGGACAGTCTCAAAGGGCCTCACAAATATTACTGAATCCTCACAACATTCATATGGGGTGTTATCTCTACTTCACAGACGGAGAAAATGAGACAGAGAGAAGGTAAGTAGTTTACCGAGATAACACAGTGAGTCATGGGCATCGTCTGAAGTGGGAGAAAGTCTAGCCTCCCTTTTCCATGAATGTTAGGTATTTGTTTAAATATTATCTAGAAAAATTAAGTTATGAAAAGCTTATCACATACATTATAATCACATTGGCTTATAAGATTTTATTTATTTTTTACAGAGTCTTTTTTTTTTCCTTTTCTGCCTATGCTTCTATGACAGAAAATTCTCTTTTACATCCTGTCAGTCTCTTTGTCACTTTCTCATGAACCTTTATTTTGCTTTCTTATTTTTGGCTTCAGGCTGTTCCCTAGCTACCTTGAGACTGTCATAAAAGACATACTGGCTCCTAATCTGCAGTGGCATGCTGGAAGAACAGCAGCTGCCATCCGCACTACAGCTGTATCATGCCTTTGGGCTCTTATTCACTGTGAAATGCTTTCACCAAAAGAGGTAAATTCTCTCTTTCTCATCAAATGTACTTTGAAATCTTAGGCAGGAAGACAAAAGAAATGCAAGGAGAAAAAAAACAATAAATCCCTGTTGTAAGTAATATTTTCAGATGGACATATAGTTTTCATAATAAAATTCATTAGTTGTAATTGAGTATTAATAATTGAAACTATCAGTAGTGGAGGGACGATGATATCCTGATAAGAGACCTCAGGGCATCAATATGGTGAGCTGTAGAACTCGCCATCGTCAGATTTTGTAGATCTTCATTCTAGCATAATGTCAGTTCTGTAGCACAAAATACTAACCACTGTTAGCACAGCAACTTGGGTACTTGACATTATTGGACCCCAAGCCAGCGCCTGTGCAGCAGCACTGGAGCTAGCCAGGACATGCTTTTGTGTAATGTGGCAAAGGCAAGTTGTCTGGCTGCCTTGGAGCCCACAGGTCCATTTAGGAAAAAAAAATCTAAAAGATTCCTGGAAAGGGCAGGAGGACCTGAGATAAAACTTGAAGGGTATCTGTAGAAACCAAAGTAGAGAGCTAACTCTTTAAGTACACTTGAAGAAATGTTACCCACCATAGTGATTAAGGATTAATTGAATCTGAGGGGTTTTTTGAAGCTTCTTTGCTAACAACAATAGCATTTGGAAATGATGCATGGGAAATATGTTAAATATAAGGGTATTTTTTAAAGATAAATGGAATTAAAATGTTGTTAAATGTTCACAGTCTTTATTGTCTAACAGACCTTAATTGAACAAAGTGCTTAAACACATGTAACTGGTTGGGTTCACATATACAAAAACATTTATATCAGAGACTGCTGTTCTAGTTAAACATTTTTTCTGAATCAGTGCCTTAATGCATTTTTTGCATTAATGTATACAAAATGTACATATTAAAGTCAAATTATGAAACTCACTAAAACATTGTATTACAACAGTCTTTACTTAAAAGCTTCCTTTTAGAATAAGAGCACCATCTACTGGTACGTACACATAATCCTCATCTCCAAATTCCTTAAAGTCTTGCCAACAATTTTTTAAAAATAAAAAGGCAAGTAAGTTTAAAACTTTTACAAGTTACATAAAACTCATCTGCATATATACTGAGCATTCATGAACTGGATGATCGACTGGTGGATTTTCATTTCCCAAGCTTCCTTAGAGGCAAAAATAGACCTGTGGGACTTGCAAGATTTTCAGGTTAACTTTTATAGTTAACTTTTTCTTTTTAAATTAAGCAAGGCAGTATCGGTCAGACCTAATAGTAACTGATGTAACCAATAAGCATATTGTTTTAGAGTGACTGAAAAGCTGTTGTTCTTCTATGCTTTTCCTGTTAACTGTAGATTTTAAAAGTCAAAGATGGGCTAATGCCCCAAATTATTGCCGCCATGGACGAAGACTCTAAAATTACTCGACTGATGGCTTGTCGTATTGTTGGTGTTTTTTTAAAAGTCTGTGGGAGGCAGTTTGATGAAGATAAATTTACCAACACTTACACAGGTAAGTGTAGAAGTTTAGGTTTGGTTTGGTTTTTTTTTTTAAATCAAGATCTCCATGTTGAAGAATTACAGTTGCTTTTTTACCTGAAGTATCATAGGGAGCTTAGCTTTTAAGGATGAAAAGCATCATGCTGGAGCAGCAGGCAGATTCACTGTATAGCTTTAGGATTCACTGTGCAGGTTGTCCACTTCACCTGCAGATTCACTGCAGCTGGTAGCAGTGGAAGCACTAACGTAGACTAGGGAATGACAAAAACTGCTGTATGTCACTATGGCATCTGGCTTTTAATCCCACATAAAAAGCAAAAAGCCTTTAAACAGTTTGAGGTGCAAATAGAGGCAGATTTTATGTAGGCTTGGTTTCTCAGCCATTCTTATTTCACTCCCATACACATATTCTAATGGTATTTCTGTGTTCTCTTATCTGGTATTTTAACTATATGGATAGTTTTCCCCCAGAGTAATTTTATAGATATTAAGGAAATGGAAAAAATAAAGTGCTGCACAAAATCATACCGTTAGCAGCATTCTTGCGTATGGGAGGTAATTTAATGTCTTAATCCTGCAGAGACTAAGACATGCTCTTAAACTGAGAAGTGAGACTGCCTAAAGTATTTGAAGTACACACACATTTTAGAAAATCAAGGTGTTAAACAGTTGAGTAGGTGTTGTTGAGTGTGACTCCAACAGCACTTGCTTCTTGCAAGGCCTTTCTGTAGTAGCTTTTTAACCGCAGTATTTCATTTCGTTGAGGTGTTGTATTGCAGCAAGTTAATGTCCTTTGGAAATGCCCTCGCTCCCAGCTGAGCAGAACGGAGCAGTATTCCCAACGTTATTATGCATTAGACCACTAGATGGAACTTCACTCAATATGATGGTCTTTGCAAGGCTTGCCAGTATTTCATCTGCATTCCTTCCTAGCTTAGACTATATGAAATAATGTTCTAACTATAGTGAAAGCAGCACAGTAATGCATTATATAAATGGTAGTCACATTGTTCTCCTTGCTGTGTTTCAGAGTGCCAAGAGCAAACCATTTCATTGTACCATAAATAGACGTGAATAGGTAGTGGGTGGGGGTTTTTATTTAAAAAAAAAAAAAAGGAAGAAGAAAACCCTAATCTAGAGTGCTGTAATGTCAAATAGAGCTATTATCTGTAACGCTTTTTAGGATGATGTTTAAATGCTAAACAATGAATCATGAGAAGTACAGTCTATGCTATGTAACAGGATTTATGTTCTCAGAGATATATACAAATAAATCAGACTTTCCCAAACCCAGCATTTTAATGACTGATACTTTTTCTTACATGGCACAGTAGAAATCTAACAACAAATATTTTTATTTTGGAGAAATACATGATCAGACAACTGTCAAAGTATATCTTTGCATCTTGCATATTCAAGTAGTCTGCAATGCAGTCATTGAAATGGTAATATTTGATAGACATACTGTGCTTTATAGAGCATAAAAATACTTAAACTCTGTACTTCGGTAATGCATTAATAGACATTCATAGTACCTTGTTAGAAAGAGTGCTAGAGAACGTTCAACTAATCTAAATAATTTTGTACGTTTCTTTTAATGTTTGTGACAACAATCCAATAACAATGCAAGGAACAAGGTACTACGTGTATTCGCAATGTTCAAAAGACAGAAATATGTCATAAATGCAACAATAATTTCAGCGATGACAAAACACATTTGTTTTTTCAAATGCAAAAGATAACTTCGCTGTTCACAGTGCTGTTTGGTTATGTATATGCTCCTTTTCAGAAGTTTTAAAGCGTCTGGACGATGCTTCATGTGATGTACGACTGGCAGCTGCTCACACCTTAACTAATTGGTTTAAATCCTTGAAGGACAGTGATGTGAAATCTGCAATGGAAAGTCATATTGAGTTTCTGTACCAAGAACTGTTGATACATCTCGATGACCCAGATCAAAATACCCAAAATGCAATCCTAGGTAAGACTTTCAGTCATACGTATTTTTAACAATGCTTTTTAAACCATGTTTTCAAGTGTTATATGAAAGTAGCGCATCCAACTAGAGGCTAATCCTAAGAGGCTGGAAGCTTTCCTTTGGGTCTCAGTGAGTATGAGCTCAGACCTTTTACCTGTATGCAAAATGTAATGTTTTATCTACCGTTCACCAGAGTGGGATATTAGTGTATCTGGTGTATCAGAAGACTTCATAGGTAGTAAACAGGATATGGAGCATAGACACTAACCATTGCAGGATGTGACCATATCCCAGCTTGCTTGATGGATTCTTTGGAATTTATTAGTTTATCGGTCTGTGTTCAAGCACATAAATATCAAAATACAGACCTCAGCAAATGAGGGAGGAATCAGGTTGTCGTGACTGCGCAACTTGCAGAAGAACAACTTCCAGGTTAGGTTTCGGCTAACTTGGGTAGAGAAACACAGAGTGGCTAATGATTTATAAAACATATTTTTGTTTTACAGAAGTTTTAAAAGAAGGAAGCGTTTTATATCCAGAACTGCTCGTGAGAGAAATTGAAGGGGTTGTACATAAGCATCAAACGCCAGTCTATTGTAATCAACTACTACATCACATTCAGTCAGCCAAAGAATCAGCTTTATGAATCAATGCTGAAATTCTTTGTAGTGAACTGTATGTGAAATCTGTATGATCTGGATTACTTTCATATTTTCATTTGCTTAAGAAAGGCTGAGCAATAAGTAGATTGTTTTTTCTTTGTAAGTTCACTATTAGCTCATTTAAAAGTCCGATTGGCACAATTCTATGTTCTTTGCCGTTTGAATAGTTCATTGTATTTACTAGCAATAAAACAATGTTTTAATTGACTTTGCATTGGAAGTTTTTCAGATACAGGT